TCCTCTTCCATTTCATCTCTTTCGAGAAATCTTTCTTTTTATTCTGTTTGTCAATTTTGTCTTGATTCTTGAATGCATCTGGATTCCAACTTGGGTTACATGCGTGTAGGGGCACAAGCAGAGTCGAATACCGCACGAAACACAAATCTTCGATGTCATCCCTTTCCAACTTGGGTTACATGCGTGTAGGGGCACAAGCAGAGTAGAATACCGCACGAAACACAAGTCTTCGATGTCATCTATTTCCACAAATCTTTCTTCTGAATGACAGGTTCAAACTTCAATTTCATTACAACTTAGGTTTCCTACCGTCTTCCCGCGAACATAACGCACCCTGAAAAGGAAAGTATACAAGGTATGTTTCCGGCCAGATACGGTCAGAAAGACTCAGAATGAGGGTGCGTTGTGTTCGGGGGAAGACGGTAGTTTAGCTAAAAGATTTTGAGTGGTTTCATCTTCATCTCCATCTCCATCTCAATCTCACTTCCAAAAATAGTAAACTGATTTTCATGTTCAGACTCTTCAGAGGACTGAGAGAGAGCCAGAAGTAAGATATGGGCTAGGTAGATTGGCTAATGGTATTTACAAAAAGACAAAAGAGGGGAGGGGGGGGGGRGGGGGGAAGGACGAAAAAGAGGAAGAAAACAAGATGAGGGGAGGGCTGATGTGCTGGTGAACTACCGTCTTCCCCCGAACATAATGCACCCTGATTCTGAGTGTATACAAGCCATCTTTCCGGTTGGATGCATTCATAATGAGGGTGCGTTGTGTTTGGTCGAAGAAGGTAGGGCTTAGCAAATACCAAAAACGATTGCATTTTACTAATTGTATGCAACGATGACCACTCATGCAGAGTACTTTGTGACCTGAATCTGGCTGTAATCGTGGTCAGATACAGCCAAAGAAGTAATCTGGCATGCTTGTTTGCGAAGTGCATAAGGCAACCGCATTACGATGACCACTCATGCTAGTACTTTGCCGCGTGAATCTGGCTGTAATCGTGGTCAGATACGGCCAAAGAAGTACTATGGCATGTTTGTTTGCTAAGTGCATAAGGCAACCAAACTACGATGACCGCTCATGCTAGTACTTTGTCACATGAATCTGGCTGAGATTGTGGTCAGATACCGGCCAAGAAGTAACATGGCATGTTTGTTTGCTAAGTGCATAAGGCAACCAAACTACGATGACCGCTCATGCTAGTACTTTGTCACATGAATCTGGCTGAGATTGTGGTCAGATACCGGCCAAGAAGTAACATGGCATGTTTGTTTGCTAAGTGCATAAGGCTGTCTCTTATACACATCTAGATGTGTATAAGAGACAGGAATCAGGCTGAGATTGTGGTCAGATACCGGCCAAGAAGTAACATGGCATGTTTGTTTGCTAAGTGCATAAGGCAACCAAATCTGATAACCGGGAAACTACAAACACGCATAACATGACAATCAACAATGCCTATCTTGTCTACTATTTTTAGTATTTTGAATTTTCCTGTTTTTTACTCACTGAATGTGTGAACCGAGTCGAGTGCAAATCGACTCCAGCTCCAAATTTCTTCCAAGATAGAAAAATATATACCAGTGGAGATTTTGAGTCTTCCTCCCCCTCCCCACACCAACTGGGGCAACCACACTCTCGCTCATTCTCCTGCCGAACACAATGTATATATCTTGGATTACCGTACACGTACACGGCCACAAACACTCTCTCTCTCTCTCTCTCTCTCTCTCTCTCTCTCTCTCTCTCTCTCTCTCTCTCTCTCTCTCTCTCATCCACACTAGCAGAGCTTACAAACTTAGTCAATTTTTTGCAGCTTGCTGGGCCCTGTGGATGGCACGATACACCCAACATCACCTGCAAGGGCCGACAAAGGTCCAGAACAATAGCAGCAAAACCCACAACAATACCAATGACAGAAATTACAATCAACAAGAAAATTTGCTTTACGTAATAACAAACAAACAGTGGATAAGACTTGATACCCCCCTCATCAATTGGTTAACCCCTCCCATTCGATGATTATTTGTCGAGCGATTGTTGAGTGCTTGAGTGATTGAGTGATTGAGCAACAGATTGATTGATTCATCGATTGACTGAATGATTGGTTCCTTGGTGGATTCATTGATTGCTTCTTCTGTTGGTTCATTGATTGGTTTATTGATTGATTCATGGATTGATTCATTTACCAACTAATTGGCTGACTCATGACGGATTGATCCATTGATTCATCGATTGAGTCCATGATGGTCCATCGATTGATCCATCGATCCATCATTGAGTCCATTGATTCATCGATTGAATCATGATGGATTGATCCGTTGATTGGTTCACAATAAGTGATTCGTTGATTGACTCAATGATTGGTCCATTCATCAATTCATCGATTGATGCATTGATTGATTGATTGATTGATTGATTGATTGATTGATTGATTGGTTCATTAATTGGTTCATTAATTGGTTCATTAATTGAGGAACTGATTTGGATAATTGATTGATTCAATAATTGATTCGTTGATTGATTGGTTGATTGTTTCATTCATTGGCTCATTGATTGATTCATGAATGGGTGCTGGAGGGCTGAGTGCATATCTGGACCTGACGGAGTCGGGATCGGAGGATGATGGATTTGATCAGATGGTTGGGACTGCACCTAGGGGCTGTGACTGCACACTGCACATAGGTGCCAGCAGCATACTGGTACTGCAACATTCCGAGTAGGCGATGCATTATGCCTCAGCCTGGATCAAATTTGATCGGCTTGGAGTTTTTGAACGTGCCACAGGGATTCGACAAGAGACTCGATGACACTTCCTCGCCTTCAGGTTAATTACAGAAATGCCATTCATCATGGCAAGCAATATTCAAGAATGTCATGCCACTTGTCGTGACAAAGATCCCGTTGTCCTGATCACCGGCCTTTGTCAGCAGAGGCCCGTTATCAGTACAAAAGTGCCACCATACTTTTCAAATGCAAAGGCCCCCCTTTTACTCAAAATGATCCTGCTTGCTCACATTTTTTATTGCTTCAAACTTTCTGCATACACCACACTCAAGATCCACAGCGCACTTGGAACTCGTTTAACATTCACACGGTTTTAAGAGCACACTTGGAACTCGTTTTTAACTCGAAATGATGCACAAAGGTTCGCAGCTTGTGGCTATTGCGGCCAACAAAGGCAACAACACACAGGTAACTCTCTCTCTCTCTCTC